CAAATGAGACCAATAAAACTAGAATACAACCATAAATACTATATGAAAATACACCTCAAAATCAGCGTCTTAATCCAAAAACAGGGTTGAAGTTTTTTTTCTCATTATGCACTGCATGATGCAGTTTTTTTTTTTATCAGTGCACACTGACCACACAGACCCATTCTCTCACATGTGGGCCTACCAGCTTTCTCCTGCTTGATTTGAAGCCGCTAGAATTGAGTATATATATATGTCCGAAACAATGGCTCGTAAGACGTATATATACGACCAAAGCAGTCAAAGGGTTAACCCTTAGACCACATCGGTAAACGAATTTGTCACTAAGCAAGGAGCAAACTATAATTGTAGTGGGTTTGTCAGACATCTTTGATATTGTTTTAATGTCACCTTTGCACCATTTGTAATATTTTTAGAATATTTTTAAACGCTTATACTACTCTGGACCCTCGGTCATCAACTGTAATCTGTTCCAGAAGCTCAGCCTAAAACCTAAATGGCCAAAAACCAAAATAATATTTCCCATGAGAATTAATGTAAATACAATTAATCTGTTACAGACAAAAATATTCACAAACATGCTGGGAGCAAGGGACTAGTAACCCCTTCTTCTGTCCACTACAATACTAAAGTTAAAAAGAAAAACTTTTCTTTTTCTTTTTGCATCACCCTGCTTCAGTGGGATGCAGCCAGTGGTTTGAAAGAAAGTACATATATATAGTACTGTAGTTTACCAAGTATACCAGTTAATGTGTATGGCAAAGTTATTATTGAAAGAATTAGAGGTAAGACAGAGAGCAGGATTGAAGATGAACAAGGCAGCTTTAGAGTGGGTAGGGGATGTGCAGACCAAATGTTTACAGTGAAGCATGTAAGTGAACAATAGTTAGATAAAGGTGAGGAAATTTTCATTGCATTTATGGATTTAGAAAAGGCATATGACAGGGTGGACAGGAAAGCAATGTGGCAGATGTTACAAGTGTAAGGCTTAGGTATTAAGTTATTAAATGCTGAAAAAGGTTTTTATGAGGATAATGAGGCTCAGGTTAGGGTGTGTAGAAGAGAAGGATATTACTTTCCAGTAAAACTAGGTCTTAGACAGGGACGTGTAATGTCACCATGGTTGTTTAACATAGTTATAGACAGGGTTGTAAAAGAAGTAAATGCTACAGTGTTGGGAAGACGGGTGGGATTAAATTATGGGTAATCAAATACAAAATGGGAGTTGACACAGTTACTTTCTGCTAATGATACTGTGCCAGTCAGCCACCCAGCCAGCCAAACACGTGTTATACATTGCACAATCGTTTCTCTTTCCTTATGGCACAGGTGATAAGACATTCTGGCAGGATGACACTACTAGTAGTATCAAAACTGAAAGGATGTTGCACAAATGTTTTACATGGATTATTATTTAGGTTGCTGATATTTCCTCGACCACTGGTGGCCACATCCATCTCAAAGCCACTAAACTCGGGGTAACATCACTTTCCTCCTAAATGGAGTGTGTTAATATGACATAGCACTAGTGAATCCCTGGTGTTTGCCACGTTGTTTGCTCTAGCTGGTGCACAATTGAGCTGGTGCTCCCAAAATGTACTGAGTGGTCCCATATTTTTTTTTAATACTGTGCACACAGTGTTAAGACCCTTTCTATACAGCCTAGACCTATCAGCCCTGTAGTGACAAATCTGAAGGCAGGAAAAATAAAACACTGATCTATGTTTGCAGCATTAGCAGTAAGAACATAGGTCTACGTATGGACAATTAACCCCTTCAGGGTCAGTGTCGTACTAGTATAGCTTGCACACCAGGGTTGGTGCCGTACTAGTACGCGTAAATTCTAGCGCCTTCAAATCTAGCGAGAGAAAGCTGGTAGGCCTACATATGAAAGAATGGGTCTATGTGGTCAGTGTGCACAGTATAAAAAAAATCCTGCAGCACACTGCATGAGAAAAAAAAACTTAAACCGTGTTTTTGGTTTAAAACATCGACTCTGCTGTGTATTTTCGTATGGTATTTATGGTTGTATTCTCGTTTTCCTGGTCTCATTTTATAGAATGGAAGACATATTACAGAAATTGAGATGATTTTGATTGGTTTCACAATGAAAAGTACCTTGAAATTGAGCTCAAGATAGCAGCAATGTTTGATTTTTGCAAATGTTCAAAAGCAAACTAATCATGCCACGTGTCCAATACACATCAACTGGCGAGTCTAATATTATTTCACAAGTGCGCTGATATTATTTATACCATTTTTACAATAATGCAGTATTCAGCATTAAAGTAAATCTTCTATTTTTGTAAGAATAAAAATTAAAAGTGGAAAGCAAAAGAAATGTGAGAGAGGCCTGAGGACATGACTAATGAACAGAGAAAATGTTATTTAAGTGCCAGGAATGTCTGTTTTGTTTATTCTGAACCCTATTTGGAAATTGGCATCTTTTGAAATTTGTGTGAAATTGGCAAAATTGGCAATTTCTGACCACTTTATTGGATAGTTGAAATAAGTAAATGGGTGGTTTCTTGTACTCATTTGATAAAATAAATGGAGTTCTAGCAAAATAGTTATGATTTTTGTAAATTAGTACACTGGAATCGGCCAAAAATAGCGCTCAAAGTGGGCGAAATCGCCAATGCGTAAACATTGTCGAGACCGCTAACTTCGCGAGAGCATAATTCCATAAGTTTTCCATCAAATTTCAAACTTTTGGTGTCTTTATCATCAGGAAAAAACTCTATCATTTCTTAAGAATTTTTTTTTTTTTTTTAATTTTCAACCCTGAGAAGAAGTTTAGGAGAGGGCCTCTCAACCCTTTAAGAGGCCATAGATTTTTGAAGAGCATGAAATAGCTAATGATCTAAAACACCCAAACAATTAATTGATAAATCTTTTAAAAATGTTAGAAATATTTTCTTTTACAATTTAAAAAAGGACAAACAACCTTATTCAACTAAAAATATGTGGGTTCTCCAATACTATCAAAACTTCTTTATACTTTCCCTGTAAAAAAAGTGATAAAGTTTATTACAATCAAGCTGGGAAAAATCTTGAACTAAGATAACAACAGGAATATAGCATAAGTGGACAAGACTAATGCTCTGTGTATTCATGTGAGAGATTTTAACCATCCAATGGATTTTCAAGTTCATGAATGAGAGAATTTTTTTTTTTTTTTTTTAACACATTGGCCATTTCCCACCAAGGCAGGATGACCAAAGAAAGAAGAAACACTTTCATCATCACTCGCTCGATCACTGTATTGCCAGAATCATGCAGATACTATATATAAAAAACTGCAGCATATCTCCACCCCTCCTTCAGAGTGCAGGCACAGTACTTTCCATCTCCAGGACTCAAGTCCAGTCTGCCAGTTTCCCTGAAACTCTTCATAAATGTTATCTTGCTCACACTCCAACAGTATGTCAAGTCATAAAAGCCATTTGTCTCCACTCACTCCTATCTAACACACTCGCACGTTCTTGCTGGAAGTCGAAGCCTCTCGCACACAAAACCTTCTGTACCCCCCTCCCTCCAACCTTGCCAAGGCCAACCCCTACCCTACTTTCCCTCCACTACAGATATATACACTCTCGAAGTCATTCTATTTTCTTCCATCCTCTCCAAATGTCCAAACCACCTCAACAACCCTTCCTAAACCCTCTGGATAATAAATACTTTTAGTAACCCCGCAGCTCCTCCTAACTTCCTAACTATGGATTCTCTGCATTATATTCACACCACACATTGGCCTCAGACATGACATCTTCAATGTCTACAGCCTTCTCCTAGTTGCAACATTTACCACCCAGGCTTCACACCCACATAAGAGCATTAGTATAACTATACTGTCATACATTCCCTTCTCTGCCTCCATGGATAATGTTTTTTGTCTCCACAGACACCTCAATGCGCCGCTCACCTTTGAACTTTTCCCTTCATCAATTCTATGATTCATCTCATCGTTCACAGACCCACCTGCTGACAAGTTCACTCCCAAATATCCAAATACATTCACCTCCTCCATACTATCTCCCTCAAATCTGATATCCAATCTTTCATTACCTAAATTTTTTTATCCTCATCATCAAACTCTTTCCAATGTTCACTTTTAATTTCCTTCTTTTACATACCCTACCAAACTCATCCACCAACCTCTGCAACTTCTCTTCATAATCTACCAAAAGCACAGTGTCATCAGTAAAAAGCAACTACGACAACTTCCACTTTGTGTTAGATTCTTTAGCTTTTAATTCCACGCCTCTTGCTAACACCTGAGCATTCACTCCTCTTACAACGACATCTATAAATATACCGAACAATCGTGATATCATATATCCCTGTCTAAGGCCTACTTTTACTTGGAAATAATCTCCCTTTCTCCTGCATACTCTAACCAGAGCCTCACTATTGTTATAAACACTCTCCACTGCTTTCAGTAACCATCCTCCTATTCCATACATCTGCAACATTTGCCGCCACACTGCCCCTTATCCATCCTATCATACGCCTTTTCCAAATCCATAAATGCCAAAAACCTCTTTACTCATATCTAAATACTACTCACTTATATGTTTCACTGTAAACACTTGGTCTACACACCCCCTACCCTTCCTAAAGCTTCTTTGTTCATCTGCAATCCTGCTCTCCATCTTACTCTTAATTCTTACAGTAATAACTATACCATACACTTTACCAGGTATACTCAACAGGCTTATTCCCCTATAATATAATTGTTTCATAAAAATAAATTTTGAAATTAATGTGAATGTTGGTTTTAGGATTATACAAATTAAACTCATTTATAATCAATAAATTTAGGAAGAACTGAAGATATATTCGTTAAGCTAAAATCTTAAAAGTTTGGGTAGAACATAAGCTCTGTCTGATGGGTCCTTGACCACCTATCCATATCATCATAACGGGTCAGGTGCTCAATTTTGACCACAAGGTGTAATCTCACCCTTATATGCCTTCTGTTGATCTTTTGTTCTTACAGTTCCTTGACAATATAAGAAATCATGTAAGTGCTTGGAAGTTCACTATTTTTCACACTGTTTGTTCTGTGTATTGTGATATCACCTGTTAACTGTGATCTTAATGCATTAAAAACCATTGCAAGACTATACACACTTCTTTGGAACGGTAGCAGTATGGATCATCTTCAATGTTCTGAGAGCAGCATCATCCAGTTTTTCTCCAAGCCAGTCATCAGGCAGTTTCATAATGGGTTCACACACTCGCACAGTAGTACGGGCCACGGTGTGTGCTGCAAATAACAAACGTCTTTATTAAAAACTTTAGCCTCAAAATTAAATCTATATTTAATTATAGAGCATTCATTATAATACGCACACAGTGGTACCTCAAGTTTCGAACAGCTCCCAACTCGAACAATTATTTAAGTGATTTTGTAAGTGCTTTTGCAGGTGCTTACATTATTCCTTAAAGGAATAAATTCCTTTAATATCAGCACTCGAACAGCCTTCTGGAACGAATTAAGTTCGTAACTCAAGGCATCACTGTATTTGTGTTTTAGTAAAAGAGTTTTGTTAATATTATTTACCTTTCCTGGTTTATCAGCCTATTTAAAAATAGCATAACAACAGACTGCTATCACTAGTACACTTCATTAATTTCCAAGTCTAGTACTGGAAGCTGTATACTTGTTAGTGATGTACTGTCAAAACACTGCTGCACCTCAACACTGCTTTGATATACCTTACCTTTGAAGAGTTTCGAGAGTTTATCTACTCTCTGAGCCCAACCATTTGCCAGGCTAGCCTGGTGCTTGCCTGGTCAACCAGGCTGTTGCTGCTGGAGGCCTGCTGCCCCACATATCCATCACAGCCTGGTTGATCTGGCACCTGGCAAAGATGCTTGTCCAGTTTCTTCTTGAAGGCTTCTACACTTGTTCCAGCAGTTTTTCAGATATCTGATTTCTGATATTTTACACTTTCTCCCATATCTCTCACTCCAGTATGTTGTTATGGCAGTGTGCAGATTTGGGACCAAGCCCTTGAGTACCTTCCTGGCATATATTATCATGTACCTCTCTCTCCTCTGCTCCAATGAGTACGTGTTCAAAACTTGCAGGCATTCCCAGTAGTTTAGGTGCTCTACTGGCTCAACGTGAGCCGTAAACGATCTCTGTATTTGTTCCAGCTCCGATACTTCTCCTGCCTTGAACGGGGCCGTCAGCACTGAGCAATATTCTAAGTGAGGGAGCACGAGCGATTTGAAGAGTGTCACCATTGGCATTACTTACCTTGTTTTGAAAGTTCTCAATACCCACCCCATCATTTTCCTGGCTGTCGTGATCTTTGTCTTGTTATGGTCTTTAAAAGAAAGGTCCGCTGACATAATTATTCCTAGGTCATTTACGTGCTCCTTAGGTTCTATTTGGTGACCCTCTTGAGTTTTGCATACTATAGTGCTCTTTTTGAGTTCTTCATTCTTTCAATACCTAAGCAGCTGGAACTTATCACCATTGAACGTCATGTTGTTCTCCACTGCCTACTGGAAAACCCTGTTAATGTCTTCCTGTACTTTTTCAGCGTCCTCTACCGTACTGACTTTCATGCTTATTTTAGTGTCATCTGCAAAAGTGTGCCGGGTGTTTTTGTCTATATCTGTTATGAGGATGAGGAACAGCAGAGGTGCCAGGACAGTGCCTTGGGGCACTGAGCTTTTGACCTCACTAATGCTGGATCTTGCTCTGTTCACTACTACTTTTTGTGTTCTGTGTGTTAGGAAACTGAAAATCTATCTGCCTACCTTCCCCATAATGCCCATGGCCTTCATTTTGTGCGCTATCACTCCATGATCGCATTTGTCAAATGCCTTTGCAAAATCTGTGTAAATCACATAGTCTTCCAGTGCCTCTGTAATTCTGTCACAATGGTTCAGCAGCTGTGACAGACATGATCTTCCTGCTCTAAAACCATGCTGGTTTGGGTTATGTTGGTTGTGATGGTCCATGAAATTTGTAACCTGCCATCTCATCACTCTTTCAAAGATTTTTATGATGTGAGAGGCTAGGGCTACTGGTCTGTAATTTATAGCTAGTGCCCTACTACCTCCCTTATGCAAAGGAGCTATGTCTGCACTCTTTAAGGCCTACGGTATTTCACCTAGATCTAAGCTCTCTCTCCAAAGAATACTGAGGGCTCATGCTAGTGGTACTTTGCACTTCTTTATAAATAGAGCATTCCATGAATCTGGTCCAGGTGCTGAGTGAGTGGGCATGTTTTCCATTCCTTTTCGAAATCTATGGGATTTGTACTATGTCAGTTAGTTGGTCTGTGCAGCCTTCTTCTGGAGTGAAAAAAAATTTCTGCTTTTTCTACCTTGCTCTCATTTAGTGGGTTGCTGAACGCCAACTCCTACTGTTCTTTTCGGATTTCATTAATTTCCTGTTCATCGTCAGTATATGAGTCTCCTCTCAGTAGTGGTCCAATTCTACAGGTAGTTCGTAGCTTGGATTTCACATAGGAATAGAAATATTTTGGGTTTCTTGCAATATCCTGTATGGCCTTTTGTTCCCTTTGTACTTCTTCTGTGAGGTATGACATCCTAAGTTTTTGCTCTAATTCAGTGATCTTTCTGCTAAGTCTATCTTTCCTCTGCTGTAGCATATCTGTGTTTTTAAGCAGTTCAGTAACCTGTTTTCTTCTTCTGTACCATCTCCTACGCTCTCTCTCTATATTTGATCTTCTTCTGGGTTTCCTCAATGGTACATATTTCATACATACTTTGTATGCTTCTGTATTCAACTTCTCAAGGCCAATTTTACACAAATTTCAAGAGGTGCCAATTTCCAAATAGGGTCTAGAATAAACAAAGCAGACTTTCCTGGCACTAAAATAACATTCATTTTCTCTGTTCATTAGTCACATTCCCAGGCCCCTCTTACATGTCTTTTGTTTTCCACTTTGAATTTTTATTCCCACAAAAAAAAAAAATAGAAGATTTACTGTTATGCAGACTACCACATTAGTGTAGAAATGGTATAAATAATATCAGCGCACTTGTGAAAGAATATTAGACTCACCAGTTGACGTGTATTGGATGCATGGCATGATTTGTTTACTTTTGAACTTTGGCAAAAATCGAACATTTCTGCTACTTTGAGCTCAATTTCAAGGTGCTTTTCATCATGAAACCAATCAAAATCATCTCAGTTTCTGTAAAATCTCTTCCATTCTATAAAATGAGACCAGGAAAAGTAGAATACAATCATAAATACCATACAATAATACAGTGCAAAGTCGCCGTTTTAATTAAACCTAAAACACGGTCAAAGTTTTTTGTTCTCATTACGCACTGTGTGCTGCAGGATTTCTTTATACTGTGCACACTGACCACATAGACCCATTCTTTCATATGTAGGCCTACCAGCTCTCTCTCCCTAGATCTGAAGGCACTAGAATTTACACGTGCTAGTACGTCAATAACCCTGGTGCGTAAGCCGTACTAGTACGCCAGAAACCCTGAAAGGGTTAATCAAAGGTGGCCAGCCCTATGGTCACTTTTTTTTTTTTTTTTTAACATTATGTGCTTCATTGTCCACTCTGTAAAGAATATAGAGACAGACAGTATTATAACTTATGTGATATGTCAAAATATCTTATTAATGAAAATAAAATACCAGACATTAACCCTTTGAGGGGTGGTGCTGTAGTTCTATGGCTGTGAAGCCAGGGTCCAAGCTGTAGTACTACATCAAGAGCTCAGCTAACTCAGATAAGCTGTGAGCCTTAAATTTGGGCCTAGATATGAGAGAATGGGTCTATGTAGTAAGTGTGCACCATGTAAAAGAAATCCTGCAGCACACAGTGCATGAGAAAAAAAATTGCGATCGTGTTTTTGGATTAAAACAGTGACTTTGTGGTGTATTTATATATGGTTTTTATGGTTGTATTGGCAGTTTCTTGTCTCATTTGATAGAATTTAAGACATATTACAGAAATAGGGATAATTTTGAGTGAAACTGAGCTCAAAGTAGTGGAATGTTACATTTTTGCCTATGTTCAAGAGTAAACAAATCACATCACGCATCCAATACAACTGTTGGGTCTAATGTGTGTTCAAGATTGCACTGATATTATTTATACAATTACTGCAACATTACATAACTGTAAATCTTCTATTTTTTGATTATTATTTTATTATTTTTTATTATCACACTGGCCGATTCCCACCAAGGCAGGGTGGCCCGAAAAAGAAAAACTTTCACCATCATTCACTCCATCACTGTCTTGCCAGAAGGGTGCTTTACACTACAGTTTTTAAACTGCAACATTAACACCCCTCCTTCAGAGTGCAGGCACTGTACTTCCCATCTCCAGGACTCAAGTCCGGCCTGCCGGTTTCCCTGAACCCCTTCATAAATGTTACTTTGCTCACACTCCAAAAGCACGTCAAGTATTAAAAACCATTTGTCTCCATTCACTCCTATCAAACACGCTCACGCATACCTGACTTAAGAAATCGTAATGACACGATTGCAAATAAACCATACCCCCGGCCGGGATTGAACCCGCGGTCATAGAGTCTCAAAACTCCAGCCCGTCGTGTTAGCCACTAGACCAGCTAGCCACCTTCCTATGGTGTAGAAATATACCTAGTTGGATGAATCTTATTGTGGCTAGCTGGTCTAGTGGCTAACGCGACGGGCTGGAGTTTTGAGACTATGACCGCGGGTTCAATCCCGGCCGAGGGTATGGTTTATTTGCAATCGTGTCATTATGATTTCTTAAGTCATGTTGACGGCAGTGAAGGGACTTGAGCTAGAGTTCGTCACGGCCACGCTAGCTGGAGATTCGTCTGTAAAAACTTGCATTTGTGGTCACAGAGGTGCCTGTGCTAACCTTCCTATGGTGTAGAAATATACCTAGTTGGATGAATCTCATTGTGGCTAGCTGGTCTAGTGGATAACGCGACGGGCTGGAGTTTTGAGACTATGACCGCGGGTTCAATCCCGGCCGGGGGTATGGTTCACGCATACCTGCTGGAAGTCCAAGCCCCTCGCACACAAAACCTCCTTTACCCCCTCCCTCCAACCTTTCCTAGGCCGACCCCTACCCCGCCTTCCTTCCACTACAGACTGATACACTCTTGTAGTCATTCTGTTTCGCTCCATTCTCTCTACATGTCCGAACCACCTCAACAACCCTTCCTCAGCCCTCTGGACAACAGTTTTGGTAATCCCGCACCTCCTCCTAACTTCCAAACTACGAATTCTCTGCATAATATTCACACCACACATTGCCCTCAGACATAACATCTCCACTGCCTCCAGCCTTCTCCTCGCTGCAACATTCATCACCCATGCTTCACACCCATATAAGAGCGTTGGTAAAACTATACTCTCATACATTTCCCTCTTTGCCTCCAAGGACAAAGTTCTTTGTCTCCACAGACTCCTAAGTGCACCACTCACTCTTTTTCCCTCATCAATTCTATGATTCACCTCATCTTTCATAGACCCATCCGCTGACACGTCCACTCCCAAATATCTGAATACATTCACCTCCTCCATACACTCTCCCTCCAATCTGATATTCAATCTTTCATCACCTAATCTTTTTGTTATCCTCATAACCTTACTCTTTCCTGTATTCACCTTTAATTTTCTTCTTTTGCACACCCTACCAAATTCATGTACCAATCTCTGCAGCTTCTCTTCAGAATCTCCCAAGAGCAGTGTCATCAGCAAAGAGCAGCTGTGACAACTCCCACTTTGTGTGTGATTCTTTATCTTTTAACTCCACGCCTCTTGTCAAGACCCTCGCATTTACTTCTCTTACAACCCCATCTATAAATATATTAAACAACCACGGTGACATCACACATCCTTGTCTAAGGCCTACTTTTACTGGGAAATAATTTCCCTCTTTCCTACATACTCTAACTTGAGCCTCACTATCCTCGTAAAAACTCTTCACTGCTTTCAGTAACCTACCTCCTACACCATACACTTGCAACATCTGCCACATTGCCCCCCTATCCACCCTGTCATACGCCTTTTCCAAATCCATAAATGCCACAATGACCTCTTTAGCCTTATCTAAATACTGTTCACTTATATGTTTCACTGTAAACACCTGGTCCACACACCCCCTACCTTTCCTAAAGCCTCCTTGTTCATCTGCTATCCTATTCTCCGTCTTACTCTTAATTCTTTCAATAATAACTCTACCATACTCTTTACCAGGTATACTCAGCAGACTTATCCCCGTATAATTTTTGCACTCTCTTTTATCCCCTTTGCCTTTATACAAAGGAACTATGCATGCTCTCTGCCAATCCCTAGGTACCTTACCCTCTTCCATACATTTATTAAATAATTGCACCAACCACTCCAAAACTATATCCCCACCTGCTTTTAACATTTCTACCTTTATCCCATCAATCCCGGCTGCCTTACCCCCTTTCATTTTACCTACTGCCTCACGAACTTCCCCACAACTCACAACTGGCTCTTCCTCACTCCTACAAGATGTTATTCCTCGTTGTCCTATACACGAAATCACAGCTTCCCTATCTTCATCAACATTTAACAATTCCTCAAAATATTCCCTCCATCTTCCAATACCTCTAACTCTCCATTTAATAACTCTCCTCTCCTATTTTTAACTGACAAATCCATTTGTTCTCTAGGCTTTCTTAACTTGTTAATCTCACTCCAAAACTTTTTCTTATTTTCAACAAAATTTGTTGATAACATCTCACCCACTCTCTCATTTGCTCTCTTTTTACATTGCTTCACCACTCTCTTAACCTCTCTCTTTTTCTCCATATACTCTTCCCTCCTTGCATCACTTCTACTTTGTAAAAACTTCTTATATGCTAACTTTTTCTCCCTTACTACTCTCTTTACATCATCATTCCACCAATCGCTCCTCTTCCCTCCCGCACCCACTTTCCTGTAACCACAAACTTCTGCTGAACACTCTAACACTACATTTTTAAACCTACCCCATACCTCTTCGACCCCATTGCCTATGCTCTCATTAGCCCATCTATCCTCCAATAGCTGTTTATATCTTTCCCTAACTGCCTCCTCTTTTAGTTTATAAACCTTCACCTCTCTCTTCCCTGATGCTTCTATTCTCCTTGTATCCCATCTACCTTTTACTCTCAGTGTAGCTACAACTAGAAAGTGATCTGATATATCTGTGGCCCCTCTATAAACATGTACATCCTGAAGTCTACTCAACAGTCTTTTATCTACCAATACATAATCCAACAAACTACTGTCATTTCGCCCTACATCATATCTTGTATACTTATTTATCCTCTTTTTCATAAAATATGTATTACCTATAACTAAACCCCTTTCTATACAAAGTTCAATCAAAGGGCTCCCATTATCATTTACACCTGGCACCCCAAACTTACCTACCACACCCTCTCTAAAAGTTTCTCCTACTTTAGCATTCAGGTCCCCTACCACAATTACTCTCTCACTTGGTTCAAAGGCTCCTATACATTCACTTAACATCTCCCAAAATCTCTCTCTCTCCTCTGCATTCCTCTCTTCTCCAGGTGCATACACGCTTATTATGACCCACTTCTCGCATCCAACCTTTACTTTAATCCACATAATTCTTGAATTTACACATTCATATTCTCTTTTCTCCTTCCATAACTGATCATTTAACATTACTGCTACCCCTTCCTTTGCTCTAACTCTCTCAGATACTCCAGATTTAATCCCATTTATTTCCCCCCACTGAAACTCTCCTACCCCCTTCAGCTTTGTTTCGCTTAGGGCCAGGACATCCAACTTCTTTTCATTCATAACATCAGCAATCATCTGTTTCTTGTCATCCGCACTACATCCACGCACATTCAAGCATCCCAGTTTTATAAAATTTTTCTTCTTCTCTTTTTTAGTAAGTGTCTACAGGAGAAGGGGTTACTAGCCCATTGCTCCCGGCATTTTAGTCGCCTCATACGACACGCATGGCTTACGGAGGAAAGATTCTTTTCCACTTCCCCATGGACAATAGAAGAAATAAAGAAGAACAAGAGCTATTTAGAAAAAGGAGAAAACCTAGATGTATGTATATATATATATGCATGTGCGTGTCTGTGAAGTGTGACCAAAGTGTAAGTAGGAGTAGCAAGATATCCCTGTTATCTAGCGTGTTTATGAGACAGAAAAAGAAACCAGCAATCCTACCATCATGCAAAACAGTTACAGGTTTCTGTTTCACAGTCATCTGGCAGGACAGTAGTACTTCCCTGGGTGGTTGCTGTCTACCAACCTACTACCTATTTTTTGATGTGAACAAAAAATCAAAATGGAATTCATGTGTGAAGCCTGGAAACGTAAGTAATGAAGTGAGGAAATGTTATTTTTTCAGTGCCACGAATGCCTGGAGTGTTTATTCTGGACCAAATTTTGAAAATGAAATATTTAGAAATTTGTGTGAAACTGAACAAATTATAAAATTCTGATTAATTTATTGGGTAGCTGAAGTAGTTGATTGGGCATAGTTTCTTATGCTTAATCAATAAAATAGAAGAAATACTAGCGAAATGAAATAGCTAAGAATTTGATTGACTGGGACAATGTAATTGGCCTAAAACAAGAGTAAAGTGGGCAAAATCACCAATGCATAAATATCACTGACACATCAAAATTCACAAGTGTAATTTCATAAATTTTCCATCAGCTCATATACTTTTTGTTTTATTACCTTCAGAAAAAGATTTTCTACCATAAGAAAAAACAATTTCTTTTAAATTCTTGGACCCTGTGGACACTTCAGATTGTGAGTCTGGACCCTCAAGGGGTTAAGCAAATTTCCTAAATTTGCTTGTAACAGATAAGTCAATTGCAGATCTAAATGCAGATGTAGCCTGCTAACCCTTTTGGTTCCTATTTCCTAGGCCTTTTGTCTATCTGCATACTCTTGCACTACTGTCCACTGGATGGATATGGGGTACACAGTAAACTAGCAGCTTCAATGACAAAATTTAATTTTCAGAAACACGAGTACAATTTATTTTTAAAATACACTATGGTAATTTACCGTAAACATCATCCTCTGTTTCGAAGACTGCAGAACGTAAGCTGACAAAGATATTGCACATCTTCGAGGCTATGAGGGTAGAGCGAAGCGCCCAGGTGAGCAGTGGAATGAGGGTTGTGAAGTGAGGTGACAGATCCTCCACATTACCAACTACAGCAGCCTCAAGCAGGGAAACTGAACTTGAAACACTTTCCAACAAATCTTTAACTCTGTAATAAGAAAAAAATGTAGTTATAATGGTCAAAACTGATCATTTACTATACAAAGCTTTCCATTATTTTAACTTACTGTGACTCTTCTCCAGCCTGTAAATAACTGGTAAATAAGACACCAATGTATTAACCTTTAAACTGTCCAAACGTATATCTACGTTTGCATGCGTAGCACTCCAAACGTAGATCAACATTTTATTTTTCATTCCTTCAAATTTGGCACAATAGGCTTTAGTCGCCTAGACATGAATGAATGGGTCTGTGCACTCAGTGTGCGCACTATTAAAAAATCTGGGAGCACTTAGTACCTTGTGGGAGCACCAGTTCAACTGAGCGCCAGCTAGAGCAAATAGCGTGGCAAACACCAGGGATTCACTGATGCCATGTCGCATTAACACTCCCATTTTAAGAGGAAAGTAAAAATGGGTTAGGTAAATACATGAACATCAGACTAGTAGCTTGTGCTACTAAGTCTGATGTCATGCTCCTTCCTTCAATGGATGACCTGACTAGGTAGGTCATTGGTCTAAGCCAGAGGGGGAGGGTGACATGTACTTGCCTTGCATGAGCCAGAAGGCCTGCTGCAGTGTTCCTTCTTCTTTATGTTCTTATTTATTCGGCAGGCTGGCCAGCTGGCTTGCTCTGGCTGTTTCTGGCTGTCTCTCTCTCTCTCTCTATCTGTCTATATCTGTGTCTATCTATATCTGTCTATATCTCTGTCTGTCTATATCTCTGTCTCACATGTACAAGTAAGTACAATTATACATAGCATAAATTACCTAGGATAATCAAAAAATTCCAGGCAAAGATAGACAGACAGACAGATAAACAGAAACATGTTTGTGTGCATCAGTGAAAACAAATAAAGTCAGGGTTCCCCAAGCACCCATTTATCAAACGTCATCGATCTGATAACAGATGTCCTAACACCATCTTCTCTTGTGGACATGGAGGTGGCAAGATCTCTGGGTCCTTCTTTCTATCTTTTGGGGCATTGTGTGTGCTCCAGGGGTGAGTTTTTATAATTTAAGTAGTGGCCACCATACCCAGGGTGACTAAAGTGTGTCAAAACACTGGTTAGCCCAGAGTTATGTCAAGAAGAGAGAAGGACAAAAGTTGTTGGGATACACCATGTGGAGAACAGCTATGGAGTGTGTAGATCTTTGTTTTGAAAATGTGACAGGCAGGCAGATAGAAAGACAGAGACAAGGCATGTTTGTGTGTAACCATGATAACAAATACACCGAAGGTTAGCTGGAGCAGTGGGTATTTATCAAATGTCACTGGGCTGTCAACAGTATAGGAATGCCTCTCATAACAACATGCTTCAAGGTATATGCCAGGGTATCTAAAACATTGCTGGGACCTAAAAATACTTTGCATATATTTCTAGACAATAGTAAATAACCCAAGCAGGTGTAAATGTTCACCTGTCAATGTGATTGTGTCTATTTGAGCACTATTTCAGTACCTAAACTTAGTGTCAGAACAAATACTGGCTATGAAATCACAAGAACTATTATAAACTGCAATTATCAGAACATAAAAAATATATAAATTAAAATAAAAATTAGAAAAAAATGTATATAGGCAACACTTCTGCAAGCAGCAGGAGTCAATGTTGCTGACAGGTGAGCATTAAGAGCCAACTTCACAGTCTTATATCTTGGCAAGTACTGAACCTAAATTTTTTTTTTTCATCCTATAACATGTAGAAAAATGTGCTCTTCATTTTAAAAGAAAAAATGATTTTATTTATTTTTTGAAATATTCGGAGCACCATGCGAGTGAACATAGATTTATGTTTGGACAGTTGAAGGGTTAAACACTTTGATAAAACTACCATGAGCAATCCAATATAGGTTATGAGAGATTTACATTATATAGCAGCAGATAAGGCAGGCGCAAGAAGCATCGGGTCAATGATGCATTAGTCAGGGCACCTTACAGTGGCATTCTGTCAGGGTAGCAACAAGATGGCCAGCACATTTGATAAGCTAAAACTACAAGATTGCTGAACAACAGTGTTGGAAACAGTCATCACTAATGATTCAAGACAGTCTCTCATCCACAGATCACTCTCCTTAAATTTAACTGATTTGCAGAAGACACTCATAATGAATGACATTATTTTAACCACAGAGTTCGACCTCTCCTGCATCTAAGCCCAATATTATGTAAAGCTAAAAATTGCCTTCTATAAGGCACAAGGTTACACTATAACACATAATTACATCATACCTGACTGTTCGTGGTAACCCATCCCTAGGTGACAAACACAGGCAGAGCTGTCTGGATGGTTTCCCAAAACAGTTTATTTACTTCCGTGAGCTTTTGTTGTAATTAAAAACTTAATATATGTAAGTATGAAAGGAAATGACAGCTGTCCTGATGTAGATAAAAAATGCAAAAGGAGCAAACATTTCTGTCAGACCAAAACACGTAGGTATTACTTGTGACATAAAAATTTGCCTGTTGAAGGCACCAGGTAAACCTTACTGATGAACACTGTCTTAAAAAAAGTTTGAACAGAGTTAAGTCCAATCATTGGCAGAATCTTTCTGCAGTCAGATTTTTTTTTTTAACAAGTTAGCAGTCTCCCACCTAGGCAGGGTGACCCAAAAAGAAGGAAAATCCCCAAAAAGAAAATATTTTCATCATCATTCAACACTTTCACCTCACTAACGCATAATCACCGTTTTTGCAGAGGTGCTCAGAATAACAGTTTAGAAGCATATACGTATAAAGATACACAACATATCCCTCCAAACTGCCAATATCCCAAACCCTTCCTTTAAGGTGCAGGCATTGTACTTCCCATTTCCAGTACTCAAGTCTGGCTATATAAAAATAACCGGTTTCCCTGAATCCCTTCACTAAATATTACCCTGCTCACACTCCAACAGCTCATCAGGTCCCAAATACCATTCGTCTCCATTCACTCCTATTTAACACGCTCACCATGCTTGCTGGAAGTCCAAACCCCTTTGCCCACAAAACCTCCTTTACCCCCTCCCTCCAACCTTTTCGAGGACAACCCCTACCCTGCCTTCCTTCCCCTACAGATTTATACGCTCTCCATGTCATTCTACTTTGATCCATTCTCTCTAAATGACCAACCCACCTCTGACTAATACTTTTATTAACTACACACCGTCTCCTAATTTCCACACTCTGAATTCTCTGCATAATATTTACACCACACGTGGTTGTTTAATATATTTATAGATGAGGTTGTAAGAGAAGTAAATGCGAGGGTCTTGGCAAGAGGCGTGGAGTTAAAAGATAAAGAATCACACAAAGTGGGAGTTGTCACAGTTGCTCTTCGCTGATGACACTGTGCTCTTGGGAGATTCTGAAGAGAAGTTGCAGAGGTTGGTGGATGAATTTGGTAGGGTATGCAAAAGAAGAAAATTAAAAGTGAATACAGGAAAGAGTAAGGTTATGAGGATAACAAAAAGATTAGGTGATGAAAGATTGGATATCAGATTGGAGGGAGAGAGTATGGAGGAGGTGAATGTATTCAGATATTTGGGAGTGGACATGTCAGTGGATGGGTCTATGAAAGATGAGGTGAATCATAGAATTGATGAGGGGAAAAGGGTGAGCGGTGCACTTAGGAGTCTGTGGAGACAAAGAACTTTATCCTTGGAGGCAAAGAGGGGAATGTATGAGAGTATAGTTTTACCAACGCTCTTATATGGGTGCGAAGCATGGGTGATGAATGTTGCAGCGAGGAGAAGGCTGGAGGCAGTGGAGATGTCATGTCGGAGGGCAATGTGTGGTGTGAATATAATGCAGAGAATTCGTAATTTGGAAGTTAGGAGGAGGTGCAGGATTACCAAAACTGTTGTCCAGAGGGCTGAGGAAGGGTTGTTGAGGTGGTCCGGACATGTAGAGAGAATGGAGCGAAACAGAATGACTTCAAGAGTGTATCAGTCTGTAGTGGAAGGAAGGCGGGGTAGGGGTCGGCCTAGGAAAGGTTGGAGGGAGGGGGTAAAGGAGGTTTTGTGTGCGAGGGGCTTGGACTTCCAGCAGATGCGTGAGCGTGTTTGATAGGAGTGAATGGAGACAAATGGTTTTTAATACTTGATGTGCTGTTGGAGTGTGAGCAAAGTAACATTTATGAAGGGATTCAGGGAAACCGGCAGGCCGGACTCGAGTCCTGGAGATGGGAAGTACAGTGCCTGCACTCTGAAGGAGGGGTGTTAATGTTGCAGTTTAAAAACTGTAGTGTAAAGCACCCTTCTGGCAAGACAGTGATGGAGTGGATGATGGTGAAAGTTTTTCTTTTTCGGGCCACCCTGCCTTGGTGGGAATCGGCCAGTGTGTTAATAAATAATAAATAAATAATAATAAACATTGCCCTTAGACAGGACACATCCACCGCCTCCTCGCTGCAGCATTTACAACCCAAGCTTCACGCCCATATGAAGTGTTGGTACCACTATATTTTCATACATTCCTTTCTTTGCCTCCATAGACAATACTTTTTGTCTCCGCATATACCTCAATGCACCACTCACCTTTTTTCCTTCATCAATTATATGGTTAACCTCATCCTTCATCCATCCATCCACTGACAAGTCAACTCCGAAATATCTGAAAACATTCACTTCTTCCATACCCCTCCTCTCTAATTTGATATCCAATTTTTCTTTATCTAAATCATTTGATACCCTCATCACCTTACTCTTTTCTATGTTCACTTTCAACTTTCTACCTTTACACACTCTCCCAAACTCATCCACTAACCTTTGCAACTTTTCTTTAGAATCTCCCATAAGCACAGTATCATCAGCAAAAAGTATGTGTCAATTCCCATATTGTATTTGATCCCAGCCCTCTCTGCAATACCCTAGCATTTACTTCTTTTACAACCCCATCTATAAATATATTGAACAACCATGGTGACATTACACATGAGGCCTGGTCACAGACCGGGCCGTAGGGGGGTTGACCCATGAAACTCTCTCCAGGTAAACTCCAAGTAAACATCCCTGTCTAAGACCCACCTTTACATAACCTGAGCCTCACTATCCTCTTTTAAAACTCTTTACAGCATTTAGTAGCTTACTACCTATTCCATATACAGTGGAACCTCTACTTGCGAGTTTAATCCGTTCCATGACCTTGCTCGCAACTGGATTTGCTCGTTTGCAGAGTCAATTTTCCTCATTTAAATTAATTCAAATGCAATTAATCCATTCCAGTGGAATTCTGTACTTCAATAATTTCGCTAATACCAACTCTATGGCTCATTTATCTATCTCACTTCATCTAGTGTGAGATAATAAATAATATAAATAACATAGAAATCTGATACATACTCTAAAATGAATAAAATATGTCATTCATGCAGTGGTATGGGTGGTGTTGGCGGTGGACGATCAGCTCCCAACTCAACCAATTATGCAAGTGTATTTTTGTAAGTGCTTTTGTACGTGTATTTTTTGGGGTCTGAAACAGACTAATCTACAAACTATTACCAACGTACGTGAATGAACTAAAAGTAGACACATATTAATACGCATTTATTTCACCTGACCAAGTGATCGCCCACTACCTGTTCAGTTTGTATTCTTACACTGTCTCAACTCTGTATTTCGTTCTCTTTTTCATTTACTCTTTCATTAACTAGTTGGTTCTCATTGACAATGGCGTCTAAGCTTAGCTGTGATAAAAAGAGGAGTCGTAAGCCTGTGGCTTTAAGTGCCAAGTTAGATGATGATGGTGTGCCATTCTGATTTTATTCAATAAACACCCTGCCACTCACCTCTCACACATTAATATTAATATTTTAAAGTAAGTAATACTTAATGTAAGTTAGTGTAAACTTGTTGTCTGGCATTTATTGCATATTTTATATGTGCTCTGATGATAATACTTATGGAGCTGTGTGGTAGCAGGGCAGAGGGACAACATTATGTTTTCTCTGCTCAGCTATCAGAGAAAACGTGTATGAATCTGCGTTTGGCCCAGCCACTCCCTCACTCCGCTTTTGTTTACAATTTTCGGCATGAATTATTCATTACTTCTCCCTTCGTTTATGATGGCATCTAAAGGTAGTTGTTAGAAATGACTAAATTCAGTAAGCAAGATATGTCGATGTTAATAATATGGCTCTGGGCCACAGTGTAGGTAGCCGGTAGGTGTAGCCCAGGCGGGCTACACCTACCGGCTACCTACACTGACTTCCTACAAATAAATACTACTCGCCTCTCTACCTATATTAAGACTACACATATTTTAAGGCAAATAATGAGTGTACTGTATGTGTATTTTACCTCTCTGGGATGTTTTAAATATCGTATATTAAGTACTAGACGGGGAGCCAGGGCTACCTACACCTGGGCTACCTGCACCTAACTTCCTACATATAAGTACTACTCACCTCTCTCCCTACATTAAGATTACAAATACTGTACTTTAAGATAAGTAATGAATGTACTGTGAATGTATTTTACTTTGTGTGTTTTTAATGCCTAGCTCTATTACTAACTTAATGTAATTTAGTGTAAACTTGTTCTCTGGCATTTATATGCATTTATAAATGGAAAAAATGGTGTTCTGCCTTCCGGTGAAGTCTGCTTTCCAGCGACAGCCTGGAACCTAACCTATTTTTTCTATCATTTTGGTCTTCTAAGGCTATGTATAATGAATACTAATAATACAATTATTTTAGAGTATAATATTCATCAAAACATGGAAATTATTCATACTGTTTGACTATTGGATTATCCAGGGCATTATACCTAGTTGTTCTGTGGCTGAATTCAAACATTAATATCATGAAATTTTAATAAATTTTGACTGAATAAGTCATCTTTGAGCCACCTGCACACTGTGTGCTGGTACAGGACCTGGTAGTGGAACAACAGCTCCTGGTTCCTTTGTTTACTTTTGCTAGTGAGGCATACTAGTACATTGGACATACAGTCATCACCTGTGTAGTTAACCATGATACACTGTGTGGTCTCTTCTGGCCTTAGATTTTTTCAAATGTATGAATAGATGAGACCCAAAGAGTAGTCTTGAGGTAAAAAAATATTGGCAGGTGGCAGATTTGTGGGTACAAAAAATGGTGCATACTAGTACATCAAACAGTACCAGCACTTGCATACATCGAACACAGTTAAAGGCTTAACATACACTAACAATAATGAAAAAATGGAAAACAAAGGTTCTTACCTTTTCCGAATAGCATTTTCTTTTTCTGTCTGAGCCTTGAGAACTTCCTTTTGCTTGGGTGTTAGTTCAAGTTTGCCTTCCTTCCTCTTCCTTTCTAGTTCTTTCTTACGTTCCTCAAGCATCATTATTTGCTCCTTGTGACTGTACACTTTGTTGGATTTCTTGACATTTTTAATATTCAAATGATCTTCAAAAGCCCTGGAAAAAAATACAAACTTTGTGATAAGCAATTATGAAATGATAAATAAAATTCTTAAAAACTATGGTATAAAACGTTATGCGTAATTATACAGAGTGCAAAGTCATTATAAAGTGACTGCTGGTAAACATTACACTTACATTGCATCTCGTTGATCAAAGTTAAAGGGTCAGCACACACTACCCTCCAATTTCATACATTCCATACATACTCTGTTGTCAATGGCCACAGAATGACTAAACAAAATTTCCCTTTTTTCATGCACAATTTTTGGCAAGTTCTGTTCAAAACTGGCAAGCTGTGCTTATACAGTACAACATCTCATCAACACATTTTCACAATATCAAATAAAAAAAACTGGCCAAACATTGTTAGTCTCAGACAAAATGCACAAAATTCTGAAACTCCAAAATCTGTCTATAGCAATAGCGTCTACTTGTTTTACGAAGTGTCAGACCATGCCCAGTGACTGACATTTGCGTAGTATGGACCACAGCAGCCACGTACAGGACTTGTCTGTCTTTATTGTTCCCCGAGCCATAGGTCTCCAGCACCAAACACTAGTCTTTCAGTCTATAACATTCCCTGGATTTAAAGCATTTTGTGTTGCTTTATTAACATATTAAATAAGGTGCAATTAACAGTGGCAGTGGTGGTGCCATGAGGAAACATGTGGTTGTCAGTGTGAAGAAACTTGAACTAATCAGCCCTTTGACTGTTTCAGCCAGATGACTGTGAAACAGAAACCTGTAACTGTTTTGCATGATGGTAGGATTGCTGGTTTCTTTTTCTGTCTCATAAACATGCTAGATAACAGGGATATCTTGCTACTCCTACTTACACTTTGGTCACACTTCACAGACACGCACATGCATATATATATACATACATCTAGGTTTTTCCCCTTTTTCTAAATAGCTCTTGTTCTTCTTTATTTCTTCTATTGTCCATGGGGAAGTGGAAAAGAATCTTTCCTCCGTAAGCCATGCGTGTCGTATGAGGCGACTAAAATGCCGGGAGCAATGGGCTAGTAACCCCTTCTCCTGTAGACATTTACTAAAAAACAGAAGAAGAAAAACTTTATAAAACTGGGATGCTTGAATGTGCGTGGATGTAGTGCGGATGACAAGAAACAGATGATTGCTGATGTTATGAATGAAAAAAAGTTGGATGTCCTGGCCCTAAGCGAAACAAAGCTGAAGGGGGTAGGGGAGTTTCGGTGGGGGGAAATAAATGGGATTAAATCTGGAGAATCTGAGAGAGTTAGAGCAAAGGAAGGGGTAGCAGTAATGTTGAAGGATCAGTTATGGAAAGAGAAAAGAGAATATGAATGTGTAAATTCAAGAATTAAGTGGATTAAAGTAAAGGTTGGATGCGAAAAGTGGGTCATAATAAGCGTGTATGCACCTGGAGAAGAGAGGAATGTAGAGAGAGAGAGAGATTTTGGGAGATGTTAAGTGAATGAATAGGAGCCTTTGAACCAAGTGAGAGAGTAATTGTGGTAGGGGACCTGAATGCTAAAGTAGGAGAAACTTTTAGAGAGGGTGTGGTAGGTAAGTTTGGGGTGCCAGGTGTAAATGATAATGGGAGCCCTTTGATTGAACTTTGTATAGAAAGGGGTTTAGTTATAGGTAATACATATTTTAAGAAAAAGAGGATAAATAAGTATACAAGATATGATGTAGGGCAAAATGACAGTAGTTTGTTGGATTATGTATTGGTAGATAAAAGACTGTTGAGTAGACTTCAGGATGTACATGTTTATAGAGGGGCCACAGATATATCAGATCACTTTTTAGTTGTAGCTACACTGAGAGTAAAAGGTAGATGGGATACAAGGAGAATAGAAGCATCAGGGAAGAGAAAGGTGAAGGTTTATAAACTAAAAGAGGAGGCAGTTAGGGTAAGATATAAACAGCTATTGGAGGATAGATGGGCTAATGAGAGCATAGGCAATGGGGTCGAAGAGGTATGGGGTAGGTTTAAAAATGTAGTGTTAGAGTGTTCAGCAGAAGTTTGTGGTTACAGGAAAGTGGGTGCGGGAGGGAAGAGGAGCGATTGGTGGAATGATGATGTAAAGAAAGCAGTAAAGGAGAAAAAGTTAGTATATGAGAAGTTTTTACAAAGTAGAAGTGATGCAAGGAGGGAAGAGTATATGGAGAAAAAGAGAGAGGTTAAGAGAGTGGTGAAGCAATGTAAAAAGAGAGCAAATGAGAGAGTGGGTGAGATGGTATCAACAAATTTTGTTGAAAATAAGAAAATGTTTTGGAGTGAGATTAACAAGTTAAGGAAGCCTAGAGAACAAATGGATTTGTCAGTTAAAAATAGAAGAGGAGAGTTATTAAATGGAGAATTAGAGGTATTGGGAAGGAGGGAATATTTTGAGGAATTGTTAAATGTTGATGAAGATAGGGAAGCTGTGATTTCGTGAATAGGCCAAGGAGGAATAACATCTTGTAGGAGTGAGGAAGAGCCAGTTGCGAGTGTGGGGGAAGTTCGTGAGGCAGTAGGTAAAATGAAAGGGGGTAAGGCAGCCGGGATTGATGGGATAAAGACAGAAATGTTAAAAGCAGGAGGGGATATAGTTTTGGAGTGGTTGGTGCAATTATTTAATAAATGTATGGAAGAGGGAAAGGGTACCTAGGGATTGGCAGAGAGCATGCATATTCCTTTGTATAAAGGAAAGGGACAAAAGAGAGTGCAAAAATTTTAGGGGGAAAGTCTGTTGAGTTTTACCTGGTAAAGTGTATGGTAGAGTTATTATTGAAAGAATTAAGAGTAAGACGGAGAACAGGGTAGCAGATGAACAAGGAGGCTTTAGGAAAGGTAGGGGGTGTGTGGACCAGGTGTTTACAGTGAAACAAATAAGTGAACAGTATTTAGACAAGGCTAAAGAGGTCTTTGTGGCATTTATGGATTTGGAAAAGGCGTTGACAGGGTGGATAGGGTCGCAATGTGGCAGATGTTGCAGGTGTATGGTGTAGGAGGTCGGTTACTGAAAGCAGTGAAGAGTTTTTTTTCGAGGATAGTGAGGCTCAAGTTAGAGTTTTGTAGGAAAGAGGGAAATTATTTTCCAGTAAAAGTAGGCCTTTTGACAAGGATGTGTGATGTCACCATGGTTGTTTAATATATTTTTTAGATGGGTTGTAAGAGAAGTAAATGCAAGGGTCTTGGCAAAAGGCGTGGAGTTAAAAGATAAAGAATCACACATAAAGTGGGAGTTGTCACAGTTGCTCTTTGCTGATGAAACCCCTGTCTCTTGGGAGATTCTGAAGAGAAGTGCAGAGATTGGTGGATGAATTTGGTAGGGTGTGCAAAAGAAGAAAATTAAAAGTGAATACAGGAAAGAGTAAGATTATGAGGATAACAAAAAGATTAGGTGATGAAAGATTGGATATCAGATTGGAGGGAGAGAGTATGGAGGAGGTGAATGTATTCAGATATTTGGGAGTGGACGTGTCAGCGGATGGGTCTATGAAAGATGAGGTGAATCATAGAATTGATGAGGGGAAAAGGGTGAGTGGTGCACTTAGGAGTCTGTGGAGACAAAGAACTTTGTCCTTGGAGGCAAAGAGGGGAATGTATGAGAGTATAGTTTTACCAACGCTCTTATATGGGTGTGAAGCATGGGTGATGAATGTTGCAGCGAGGAAAAGGCTGGAGGCAGTGGAGATGTCATGTCTGAGGGCAATGTGTGGTGTGAATATAATGCAGAGAATTCGTAGTTTGGAAGTTAGGAGGAGGTGCGGGATTACCAAAACTGTTGTCCAGAGGGATGAGGAAGGGTTGTTGAGGTGGTTCAGACATGTAGAGAGAATGGAGCGAAACAGAGTGACTTCAAGAGTGTATCAGTCTGTAGTGGAAGGAAGGCGGGGTAGGGGTCGGCCTAGGAAAGGTTGGAGGGAGGGGGTAAAGGATGTTTTGTGTGCGAGGGGCTTGGACTTCCAGCAGGCATGCGTGAGCGTGTTTGATAGGAGTGAATGGAGACAAATGGTTTTTAATACTTGACGTGCTGTTGGAGTGTGAGCAAAGTAACATTTATGAAGGGGTTCAGGGAAACCGGCAGGCCGGACTTGAGTCCTGGAGATGGGAAGTACAGTGCCTGCACTCCGAAGGAGGGGTGTTAATGTTGCAGTTTAAAAACTGTAGTGTAAAGCACCCTTCTGGCAAGACAGTGATGGAGTGAATAATGGTGAAAGTTTTTCTTTTTCGGGCCACCCTGCCTTGGTGGGAATCGGCCAGTGTGATAATAAAAAAAAAAAATATACGTCTTATGAGCCAGTGTTTCGGACGTATGTATACTCAATAATTCCAGCGGCTTCAAATCAAGCAGGAGAAAGCTGACAGGCCCACATGTGAGATAAGGGGTCTGTGTGGTCAGTGTGCACTGTATAAAAAACATCCTGCAGCACACAGTGCATAACGAGAGGAAAAACTCCGACCGTGTTTTTGGATTAAAACGAGTTTGAGGTGTATTTTCCTATAGTATTATCGTTGTATTCTCGTTTTAATGGTCTCATTTGATAGAATGGAAAACATATTACAGAAATAGGAATGATTTTGATTAGTTTCACAATGAAAACGACCTTGAAATTGAGCTCAAAGTAGCAGAAATGTTCGATTTTTACCAATGTTCAAGAGTAAGCAAATCACACCACACATCCAATACATGTCAACTGGGGAGTCTAATAGTCTTTCACTAATCCACTGATATTATTTATACTATTTTTACAATAATGCAGTAGCCTGCATAACAGTAAATCTTCTATTTTTTGTGTGAATAAAAAATCAAAATAGAAAGTTAGTTTAATATGTTTATTATGCACCCCATACCCATATAAGAGGGGCCTAGAGATGTGACTAATGAACAGAGGATATGTTATTTTAGTGCCAAGAATGTCTGCACTGTTTATTCTGGACCCTATTTTGAAATTGGTATCTTTTTTAGTTTGCATGGAATTTGCCAAATTGCCAATTTCTGACAATTTTATTGGGTAGT